TAGGAATATAGCGTGGAGTAAGGTGTGGGTTCTGTCCTCAAGATGTTTGCAGTTTAGAGGGGAAAGTGAGCATTTAAATATTCTAGGCCAGGGGTTGGCAAACTTTTGAGACGGAAGAGCTGACGGGTTGGCAAACTGTGGCTCGCGAGCCACATGCAGCTCTTTGGGTGTGTACATGTGGCTCTGAAGTAAAATTGAAAATGAAAATAAAACTATCATAGTTTCATTTATAAAATTTTTAAAGGATATTATTCACATAACCGTGATTATGTAAAAATATATCTATGGCCCTTGAATAATTTTTTAATTATTGTGAGGGACAGGATTGGCTCTTCCAGGCAAACTTTTGAGACAGAACGTACCCAAAGAGCCGCATGTGACTCACGAGCCGCAGTTTGCCGACCCCTGTTCTAGGCAGAGAGAACAGTGAGCTGAGGGACAGAAATGTAACAAGTCCAGAGATCCTGACCCTAAACAGGATGTGCAAGCTGCTCTCTATGGCTACATTCGTGCATGGAGGTGAAGAGTAGGAGGGCTGGGGGTAAGAGGAGGGCAGGAAGAGGGCGACGTGGTGAACGGTAAGGCCAAAGAGGTTCCGGTCATCCAGAGCTTGAACGCCATACTTAGAAATTAATTTGAGGACAGGGAAGGTTTTTTTGGTGAGAAAGTGATGTGATCAAATTGTGTTTTACAAAGGCTATTTTTTACTTCAGTATAGAGATAAATTGGGAAAGGCCAGACTGAGAACAGAGATTGGTTAGTAGATCATTGCAGTAGACCTTTGGAGAAGCAATGAGGTCCTGAACCAGGGCAGCAGTGAGGAGGAAGAGGGAGATGAGGAAGAGGAAAACATACAAGAAATGTTAAGGAGCCTAACATGATGGGTGAATGGTGGTGCCACTGTGTAAGTACAGTAAATATAGGAGGAGGGACTGAGGGGGATAGTAACGAATTCCATTTTCCATCTTAGGAATGTCGAGTTAGAGGTGCTTGCAAAATAAGCAGATAGAGATGTCCATTAAGGAACTGGGTAGTTGGGTCTTGTGCTCAGTGAGAGCCCTCGGGCTAGAGATACGTGTTTGGTAGTCACCTGCTTGCAGATGGTAGTTGAACCACAGGAACAGGGAAGATTACTCAAGGAAGGCAGGTGGAAAAAGAAGAGAAGCAGCCAAGGGCAATGCAGGTGGGATTCACAGATAATTAAAGGTTGAGTAAGGCATATGCAGCCAGTAGAAGCGATAGAGAAGGAAGAGGAGAACCAGGGTGGTGTCTCAAAAAACAGGGGAAGAGAATATTTCAGAGGGAAGAAGGCAGCAGTGTGAGAGGCCACACAGAGATCAAGTAACATCAGGATGGAATAAGGGCCATTGGATTTGACAAGCAGAAGGACTATCTGTTTGAGAGACTTCTTCTGTGTCTTCATTTCTCACATATAATGCTGGATCAACAGTACCTTTCTTGGAGAGAGAAAAGGATAAGGTGGGGAACACACAAAGAGAAGAATCTCTATTCCATAGAAACCTGAATACACCTCTGTTACAGCACAGCCTGCACTGTTAGGATTGCTTACAGGTTGAGCCAACTTGCACTATCGCATAGATACACGCAGTCCCACTACTCAGAGGAGACCCGCTAATATTTCATTATAAATTCCTTTAGACTTTTTTCTCTGCATATAAACAAACATGTGTGTTTATATGTGTACACAAATGTAATTTTAGGGCGGCCGGTTGGCTCAGGTGGTTAGAGTGTGGGCTCCATAACACCAAGGTTGCCGGTTCGATTCCCAGATGGGCCAATGAGCTGCCCCCTCCACAACTAGATTGAAAACAATGATTTGTCTTGAAGCTGATGGGTCCTGGAAAAAACACACTGTTCCCCAAGAAAGTTTAAAAAAAATACATTAAAAATGTAATTTTAAAAGTAAATATTGGTTCATACTGTGTGTGCTCTTCTGAGAACTTGCTTATTTCACTTAGCTGAATAAAGCAATCATCTTTCCATGTTACATGTTGAGCTATTCTAGTCTTTAATGGCTACAAAGTATTCATTGTTTGAATCGACTATTTATTTAACAAATTGGACCCTTAATGATAAGCTTGTAGGTTTCTCGCTTTTCACTACTCCAAACAGTACTGGAATGAATATTTTTGTACACATATCCTCTTTGCACACTTTTTCAGGGTGAGTGTTGGTTAAATTCAGGGACTGCGTCTTTCTCATCTTTGTACCCTCAGCACCAGGCATAAAGTAGGTGCTCAGTAAAAATATTCAAATGCCCTGAATTTAGGCCTTTGAGGTCCTGCAGTGTCTCATTTATCTTTGCATTTTTAGCATCTGTAACAATAGCACAAACATTTTTTTGATGAATGAATAATCTGAAGGATATGGAGCAATCTTCTCAGAAAAGGAAAGTGTTAAGCAGTGACCAGCTTTTAAGTGATGTGTGTGTTTCAGAAGCACCTCACTAAGCATTGCCAGCTGGGACGCACCGTGAGACATTTCTAGTGAGTGCTCTGCGTTCCTTCTCCGCCCCCTCCCTGTGTTAAGTGTTGATGTGCTCCTTTCCCTGGTCAATAGAAAGGCTAGAAGATGAAATTTCCTGGTGGTTAATTGGTTAGAGTGAAAGAAGTTAAAGACTCTTATCTTTCCCTTCAAAGTTATATACCATAATACCTTGGTTTGCGAGCACAGTTCGTTTCAGAAACAAACTACTTGTATTGCAAGACATCACTCATTTACCATGTTAAAATGTACTTGGTTTGCGAGCATAATTCGTTCCAGAAACAAACTACTCGTATTGCAAGACATCGCTCATTTAACACGTTAAAATGTATTAGGAATGTTTGCTCATCTTGCGGAACACTCGCAAACCACGTTATTCTCAATCCAAGGTTTTACTGTATGTATATTTTTTCACCTGCAGGATGCTCTTCATAGAACCTTAAAAGCAAGGACATTTTCTGGTTCAGTTGTGCATAACTAGTACCTAGCATACTATACTACCTAGAACAAAGAGGAGGCCTTCAGCAAATGTGTAGAGAGGAAATGAATCATTAAGTATTCAGCTATGCAGTTTTTGGCATAACCTGAGAAGCTTTGTGGTTTTGACCATTTTCTCAAATGTAAATCCTTTTTCTGCTTCCTTTGTTCAATGATGACTCTTATTATATATTAAATTCTTATATATATTAGGGTCTATTCCTGAGTGTCATTTTTTATTCAATAGGTCTACCTTTTTATGGTGCTAGTCCATATAATTTTAATTATTGTTGCTTTATATTATGTTCTGATATCTTATAAGGCTACTTATACATTGGAATACCTCTTTTTCAAAATATTAATTTACACTTTTGCCCATTTATATTTCAAAAATAAGTCTAGAAATATTTGCTTGTATTCTATTAAAAACAGCCTATTGAGATTTTCTTATTGAGATTACATAAAACCTACAAATTAATTTCTATATTGGCATCCTTTTACTAATCTTTCTATCATATAATATGGTGATTTTCCCCTTTTATTCAAATCTTGTGTTACATATTTTGGTAAAAGTAATGTTATTCTTCATATGGGCCTCTTATTCCAACAACATTTATTGAACACCCACTTATTATCGTGATGAACAAAAGCCCCAGGTGCTAAGGAAGCCCAGAGGAGTGGTACCGACCACGACTAGGGGTATTAAGGAAGACTCCCTAGAAGAGGGAACTCCTGTACTGAGTCTTGAAGACAGAAGTTAACCAGATGAAGGGGGAAGAAAGAGTATTCCAGGCAGACAGAATATTCATTGGAGTATATATTCAAAAGTAGAGCCAAGAAAAAATGTTGAAGCATTTTAGGAGCTGCACGTAGTGAGAGTATAGAATGACCATGGGATAGCAGCTGGAACTGAAGCTACTAAATTAATCTCAGAAGCCTTGGAATTAGAAAGCAGGTGGGAGGGTGGCAGATTGTGAAGGGACTTGTGTGACAAGATAAAAGTTTGGATATAAGATTGAAAGATTTAAGTGGAGCAGTGAAATGGTCAGATTTATGTTTTAGAAAAAAATATCCCTAAAAGAGAAAATAATAAAGTTAAATAAAGGCCACTTCAGGCTACTTGAGATGATGGCATTAAGGGGTTCCAAACATATCACATTTGGCAGTTTGGACTCAAAAGGCTCTTCATCTAAAGCAGTCTGTGACCTTACTCCCTTTTTTAAAAATGCCATTAACTGTTGTGGAAACCAGGTCTGTTGTCCTGCAGAACGTGCCACATTCTGGATTTGTCTGTTTCTTCAGACTATAATTTAACATATTCCTCTGTCTCTCATACTTTCTATAAACTGGAGGTTAGCGTTGAATGACTCATTGGATTCTGGTTCATCTTTGTGTTTGGTAGGAGGGTACAAAAATACTTCGTAGATAGAGTTGTGAAGTGCTACATTTGTCTGGTAGCCCCACTCTTAGGGATGCTGATTGATCAGTGGTTCAGGTGATGACAGCTCATCCCTCCATTATAAATTTCCCCAACAACCTTTCATCGAATGAGTTCATCCACTGATGATTATCACCTGAGTGAATTATTTCATCATGGATTACAAAATTTTTTTAAATTCTGTCAATCTTTTCACATTTATTAGCTGAATAAAGAACATTCCCTGAATAACTAGAGCTATTTGGTTGTCCTGAAATATAATATGTACCAAAAAGATAAGATAAATGCATGATTAATTTTCTTTTATTGCAATTTTTGGATTAAGGAGTTGGTACCTCTTCTAAGTATGTATTGATCATGCTTCTATTTTATGACTTATTGCATTGGCAAAGTCCAATGATTCTCCCCCAGTGATTATCTTGTTATCTCAGCCTTTGAGAAATGGTCTTCATTTGCACAAGAGCCTTTACATCCTTAGATATGCGAATGACTAAGTGCCACACACACATCAGTCCATCTGGTCCTGCACTTTTCAGAAGACAGAACAACCTTTCCTTTGATTTCTCTTCTCTTGTTTCAGGTCACACTGTGAACAAGATGTGTAAACACTCAGATTCAGAAGTGGCTTGTCTTGCCAAAGAAGTTTACACTGAGTGGAGTACTTTCATGGAGAAATATTCAGATAGACCTTCCATTGAAGTCAGAAGTGATCCCAAAACCGAGACATTGAGGAAAAACGCCCAGAAATTAATCTCAGAAGCCTTGGAATTAGAGGTAATGTCTGGTTGGAATGTGATGACTCAGAACTCCTGGTTAAATGAGCCTCACATTCTCATAATGAACTTTCATAGTCTTAGTGCTGTGACTTTATTCTAACTGCTTTTTCTTTAAGGGTTCTGGATTTATAATCATTCTGAGAGAAAGTGTTGTAGAAAAGAACTAGCAAAACCTGGATTAAACCCTGCTCTAGTACATACTAGTTGTGGCACCTTACACAGATCTCTCAACATTTGTGAGACTTGATTTTTTTTTATCTGTAAAATGATTATAATTCCTATTACCTAAGGTTACTGGAAAGATTAAATGAACCATTTGCAAAAGAATAGTATAGTGGCTGGTGATTAGAAATCACTTAATGAATCTTGGTTCTTTCCCATTTAAACTTCTTTCCCTTCCCACTGAAGCAAAAATTCTGGGATGGACTCTGTAATGGAATATCAGTGGCAAAATAAATAGCTATCTCTTGAAAAGACTCTACGCCCCCATTTTTTGTCCACACTCATACCTTTAGTTCTAAAGCATATAATCAATTGGCTAGACATAATTCCTATTATTCATAGCCAACAGTTCAGATGATTGTAGTTTGAGGAACACATGCTAGAAGGATTTTTGCTCATTAAATATTAATCATCATCATCATTGAACAAATCTTGTAGGTCAATTAATACTCTTGGAAAAATCAGACGTATAACACCCATATTTTTTTCCTTAGGATACCCCTTTATTAAAGTATCCTTAAAGAATAGTTAAATATTATTAACAAAAGAAATTCTGAAGTCTGATTTAAATGCTGAATCTTTTACTGCGTTCTCTGAAAAAATATTTTAATCTTGCTATCTCAGTTATGCATCCACAAAAAAAAAGGCACATGGACTGGTGGCATATTATTTACTTCTTTAAAATAAAGATTTGGGTTTTTTAATACACACTTATGATAAAAAATGAGAAAACTATAGAAAGTAAAAATAAGATCACCATTGAATTTACCACCCAGATATAATCTTGTTAACATTTTGGCGCATTTTCGGTTTTAAAAATTATTATAGCTTTTTAAGTGAATACTGGGCAAGTTACAATTATCCCAGCTTATTAAAAGCCAATTATATGCCAAATGTTCCATAATATAGTTTTATTAATTATTTAAATGCCATTACAGAAAATTGATAATTATTTACATGTATTGTCTTTTTAATCTTGATCAATATCAGTGTCATTTTATATATCCTTTTCTATATGTCTTTATTGTTTTCACTTAAAAATTTTTTAATGTCCATTTGATAGTTCAGTGAACTGTTATGCTGTTAAGTTTGCTTATGTTTTCCTAAAGGAAGCTTTAATATGAATATTAAGCCCTTGGAAGAGAGAAAATAATATGGAGGTTGTGAGGCTAATTTTCCAGAGTATTGATTAGCCAACAAGACTTGCTATTTGGTATTTTAAATAAAGTTTATTTTTTAAATAAACCAAAATTATTACCGAAACATAGAGTGTGGGTATATAATGTGTAGTTAATGTGGTGGTAAATATCAGTTCCCTGTGGTATCTTTTTAAGTAAATGATAATAACGAAGCTATGCTTCTAAGGATTAATGAGCAGTTTGCCTGCTATATTAAACTCCATAATAATTATCCTTTTAGTTTATCCATTAATTATCCTTTAAATGGCACATCAAGTGGTAAGCACTCAAGTGTTACAAAGCAAAGTTAAAAAAGTGATACATTCGTTAGTGCTATCAAACATAATTGGAAAAAATATCAGATTAAGCATAGTTGAATGGTTTTGTTCTCAAAGAGTAAATTTTAAAAATTAAAAGTATGCATCTTACTATAGTCCTTGGCCTAAAAAAAATCAGTTTGTTTTCCTAGTATAAACCGTATTTGATAGGAATTTTATCAGTTTGATATGTCAGAGAATTATGAACACTTCTACATAAAGTTAACTCTTAGCACGTATCATCATCTGAAACATTTCCATATTAGGGTAAATCAGTGACCTATCTAATCTAGTATCTGGTCTTTGACTGTAACCAATGTTGAGTTGAGTGCTTTCAAATCAAGTATCAGATCTTCATAAATGTACTTTATTAGGTAGTAGTAAACCATTGGGTAAATTATTGGCCCAATGACTAAAAAGCCTTTATAATTTGATCCCAGCATGCGTTTTTGCAGATCCACGCATTCCATTTTTATAGAAAAAAATATTTTCATATTATTTGTTTTGGTCTTATTCTTTAATAGTGAAAGCCATAGATGAAGAATATACACACACAGCCAAATGCATCTCTTTATTACTCTACAGATATTGCTTTCGAGATTCACAGATTGTTGCCTTGTTCTTGGAATAATAGAATAGATGAATAAAAACTCCGTTGTTGAGACCCTGGCTCCATTCCCCTTTACTTTCTCCCTTCCGGATCTTCTTTGTTCTTCCCTGTCTTTTAGATCTTTCCTCATATGAACGTCCCCTGTGGTGTCATTCTCTTACTTCCCTTTCCTCATTATCCACTCTCCTTCCTACCTCATGGCCTGTGATCATTTTCCTATTATGTCATTAAAAAAAATGAACCCGATTCTCAAAGTGAGCCTGTATCATTAAGAGTTATGAAACACTGGCTGGTTGGCCCAGTTGGTTGTCAGATGGTGCTAATGAGATCCAGGTCAGGGGTACGTCCCCATATGGGACTGTTAGTTTTTTCTTTGTTTAATGGCCTCAGACAGCACCTCTGGCTTTGACCAACTCTTTTCATAAATGTATTCAAGTGGTCAAAAGGGAGTGTGGGTGGATATGTACAAAACCAATCATAAGGTGTGTGCCAAAACTCACACAAAGTTTGTTCCCAGTGGATATCCAATTCAACAAATGTTTAGAACCACTACTACTAGTGCCAGGGAAGGACACAAATATAAGGGAGTTGCATTCCCTATCGTAAGAAAGCTTACTGTCTCTTGGCTGAGAGCCTGTAAATGACTAATGTCATGTCGAGGCTCAGCTCCTAGCAAATGAACACACGATTCAGTGAGGCTGAAAAGGAACAATAACGGAGCCATAGATAGGGGGTTTATACCACTATATTATATTCTCGATGACGGCTGGTCGAGACAGGAGAAGCAAACATCCGTCAATACCCCAACAAGGGGTCTTCCTGCACCAAAGTCTCCCTGGTGGCCCGGTGAGACACAGGAATTAGGATCTGCAGGATCTGCACCATCAGCGACACCCACACCTGCTAACGTAGGTGCGACAGTTACATGCAAAACAATAGTAGCTAATGGCCAACTGGTTACAGCTGATGGCCATCTAATAACCGAGCCAGCGCCTTGCCACGTGAGGCCGAGAGCCTGAAAACTGCCCTCCTGGCCCTTTCCCAACAACTGATATGAGGCAGGATCAAATATATCTGAAATAGTGGTACTAGCAAGTGGTGTAGACACGCAGAGGACAACGTGAAATCTGATGGAGGAGTCTGGGAATGTTTCGTGAAAGACATGGCAATTGAACTGGCCTTTGTAAGAGTGGTAGGATTTTACTAACTAGAAAATGCGTATAAAATAGAAATAATTATATTTTATATCTGCTATGTATAGGATGTTATTGAAAGAGCAGGAAAGGAACGAGGTTACATGGTGGGGGAAGGACATTCATTTAACAAATATTTACTGAGCGCTTACTATATGCTAGTACATAAGCGAGGAAGGAGGAATTTAGAAACGGATCCAACATGGTATTAGCTCGAGAGGGGCTCACAGTCCTCTGAGGGAGACAGGCAAATAAACAGTCACAGTACAATGTGGGACATTCTGAACTTACAGTAAACACATGGAGAAAACCTTGTTCCCTTGCTTTTAAAGGGCTTA